TCGGGGGGCACAACGGAAGGAAGGGCAGTGTGAGGGGACTGGCGAATTATGTAACCGCAGAACAGTGCCCGGAGAAGGATTACGGGTTTGAAATTGAGCTGGAGCTTTCTTATTGCTGGGTCGTTGGCTTTGGTTCCAGTCCTGTTCCATATGTGCCGCTCTGGAATGTTACGAGCTCATAGTTCGTGGGATTGGTTGGCGAGTTGGCAGAAGACAGGTTTTGCAGCGTGTTGCGTTCCAGCTTTTTGTCAGATTCCCGGGACCGTGGAAGTGGCGTGACGTGGAGGCTCATTTATGGCATCATTGCTGTGGGCGTTGTGTGTTTGTCGGACAGTGCCCTCCTCAATGACCAAGGATCACAGGCGTCGCTGTCATGCGCTAATATTTCCCGCGCTGACTGCTTCTTTCCGAGCGTGGTGGTGCAGTGGCAGGTCTCAGTAGAACTTGTTATTTTTGCGAATCTATGTGCACATTTTTATGCGTTTTTTGCATTTATGCAATGCGGAAAACGCATGTTGACGAGGGGTTGTCTGGGTGTGCACTCTGCGTCTGTACCGATTTTTCATCTCGAGATCTACAAATACAACTGGGCTGAAACTTTGAGGGGCTTAATCTACATGCGTGTACGAGCTCCCATCTCCAAAATGAGCGCTCTTACCCGTGTGATATTCACGTACGGGCTCGCCAAAGTTTTTTTCGGGTAAATTGCTAACTCGAAGCTAGAAAGCTGAAATTTTAAAGAGGTGTTTTAAGATAGCCCTGGTGGCCAGTCTCAGTTATCTTAGCTAGAAGCATTTGCGGAAAAAAAACAGGTGCGGTAGTGACAAAAACTTCGGGGAACTATGCAAAAATCGCATCTTCGCACCGGCAGTCGATGCGCTGGTTTTTTATTTATTTTAATTTGGAAATGGGTTTTTTTCAGGAGCATTGTTCGTTGTCCACCTCATGGCTGCTTGAACGGCACAAGTCAGGTTTTATTTCCGGAATGCCGAAGGTATGTGTTTACTTCTGAAGTTTGAAGCAGCTTAGTGTTTCTTCTTTTGTGTTTACATCTGAAGTAACTGTTGTTCCAGCTTTGCTGTGTGGGAAAATTAGCCGAGCAAAATTTGCTAAGACTTCGTTCTTTTTAAATTTGGTCGAGCAAAATTTCGTTCTTTTTAAACTGTATTTTTTGGCGGTTTTGTTGCCTGAAAGAGCATCTCCGACGGAACAAATGGCTGATTTTTCAGCGCAGAGAAGGTGTACCGGCGGGTTTAGCGGCGCGACGCCTGTTGACCAGGGATTTCTCCCCTCCTCATCTTTATCCTTCTTATGCGTCCACTTTATGCTTTCTGTGTAGTTTCGCACTTCTCTCCCGTGTTTCGGGCGTTTTAATTTTGCATTTCGGAGTATCTGAGAGAATGGAAGCAAACACTGTCCTCGGTACTGTCCAAGTGATTTTTCTGGCGGCCTGAATTTTTGAGCGTTATTTGATGTGTAAGTTGTTGTGCTCAAGCACGGCCGCACTCAAACTCTGGCTGTCGTAACTCTTTTCACGGTGCTGCTTGAAGGGAGGATGTTGAAAGGGTTGCATGTCTGATGCATTTGGATCTTAGCAGTCCGCTGAAATCACAGAACGTTCGAGCATTTTTTAGTAGCGCAGCAATGAATCGTTTGCTTGATGAAAAGGAAAAAGTGGAAATCGCGGCAGGGTATTCTTGTGTAAGGGATCAAAGTTCTTTCAGTGCAGTTGCGATTTGTGGCCGCAAATGAAATAAGCTGGGAGGTATCGGTAGTTTAAAAATGCTGATTCTTGCGCTGTAGCATGATGTCGTTTTTGAACAAGCTGGGCCCGAAGTAAGAAGCGAAATTCTGTTTCTGAGTTGTACAGAACAATGGAGAACTCCAACTTGCAGTGGTGCATCGTCCATTCTTTTTGTATCTTTTGTGATACATTGGAAATCTTTGTCCCATATTGTGATGAAATTTTTGTCGGTGTAATAGGAAGAGGACGGATTTTTTTTCTACAAATCCGCTAAAACTTTGCAAATTGCTCTTCCTTCTTTTAGGTCACTTGCTCAGAATTGCAAGTTGGATTGCGTTTTTTAATACCGCGCGAAATGAGCGAATAGCAACTGTTTTAGTTGAAATCGATTTGTACGATCAGATCAGCATATAAAGAGAGCGAATAGAATGACAGGATTGGAAATTAGTTAACGGAGCACTAACGTGTGTGTGGGTGTGTATGTGTGTGTGTGCATACACACACGTACATACGACCTTAATAATGACCCAATGACCTGTGCAAATCAAATGTTCTGATAATCGAAATAAAAAATAGGAAAAGCTCGGCATTCCACCGGCACTGAGCTTAGATAAGACGAGCTGAGGGAAACGGTCGCCCAGTCCAAAGTGGACGTCGAAGTTGAGCTTACAACACTGCTATCAAAACGCCAGCCCGGCGGCTAAGCTGATTGGAGTGCGTAGACTTTACGAGATTTGCTTTCCATGCATGGCCTGTAGACGTAAAATGAAAATTGACATTCGCTTGCCAGTTCTCATTGCGTGTTCAAAACGGTTAAATATATTTGTAGTGAAATGCGACTTCGTTAATCAGTCATGCTAGGGAGCTGAAACTTTACGAGGATATTCTATGCCAGTGTACGACCGAAATATTTCAATGTTATCTTTAAAGCACTCCTAGGTCTCGCATACGCGCAAGTAAAAATTTAATTCGGGACACTGTTGGCATCCAGTTAATTTGGTAAAAACAGAGCAAGTGAAGCCGAATTTTTACGATTATGCGTGCTTTTCATGTGTGGGCCACCAAGCATAAGATGAACTCCTATTTATCCATAAGCCCTATGTACGGGCGCATCAAACCTTCAAATTGCAACATCGTAGTCACATTCCAGTAATACAGGTATTCGATCCATAGAAAACGTGTGATCGTACCGGCGAGTCCGATATCTCGCTGCCTACGTCTTCTTTTAATTGTTGAGCAGGATTTTTTACTTAAATGCGTTTTTTGAATTTATTTCCGTCTTCAGCTGGAGATCCCAACATTCGCGGAGCGCTGGAATACAGCAGATTTGGTGATGTGGATTAATTCACGCAATGAGCCTATTAAGGTCAGTGTTTAGCTGATACAATGCTTTAGCCCATTGCTCATCTGACACTAAGCATTACCGGCTTAACTGGTGATGCTTCGTCACTCACCAGAAATTTTGCTTCTGTTTCCTGTTCTGAGCTGCTCGCCTCGGGTTTGTGTTCGGCACCAGCACTGCGCCCATGCGCTCTCTCATATTTCTCAGACAAATGGTTTTGGCCTGCATTGGGCTGAATGGATACTTGATCTTTTTTTTTCCTCGCTGCGCAAGTTATGGTTTTCATTAGCAATGACTTAGAACGGGCAGTTGTGGTAATTCTGAATGCTATATAAACTCTTAAAGACTCTAATGTTATTTATTGTCCTGTTTGGATGACTGCGTCTCTTTCATAGTGCAATTTTTTCGGTAAACCGTGGTTGGCATGCCTAACATGCTGGTAACTCAAGCCCATTTCAGCTCACCACTTCCTCGGGCAGTTTTTGAAAGAGAGAAAAGCTTTGCTTTATATCCCATCTGGTCATTTCGAAGAGGGAAATTCGCGACAAAATTTTTAAACTCAACTCTACCCAAGTTCATTTTAATACAAATTGTTCACTTTGCACAGTCTTCTCATGTCATAGTTTCTTGGGGTATTATTTGATGCTGAAGACACAAATTTTGCATATTTTGCGAAATTTAGATGTTGCTTTTATATTGAGTTTTTTATTGCAGACTTTGCTGGAACAAGTTGAGGCAGAGGTGAGTGAGGCGCACAGTTCATTTGCCGAAAGCAGAAGTGAAGTGGAACGCATCAAAAAGTCTCTGCTCTATTCCATCCTCTGTTCTAAGCATATTTTTCCCGTAAATTACATATTTCATTTGATGCCAGGGCAGAGAGGCACTGGCGGTTGTTTGTATCGCTTGAACTAATGTTTCACCACAGTTTGTGGAAGCTCTAGCAAGCAGCTTAGTGCCAGATAGGTCACGTCAAGATGCCGAGCTCATGGCAAAACCGCTTTTCCTGTCTTTGTCGTTGTTTTGCTTGGTGCCGAATTTTGGAACTCGGTTATTTTTGGCATCCCATCTGATTTTTATACCCCAGTGGTTAAGCTCTCAGCTCATGAGCTTATTCGATAGCGACGGTTTTCTGGCCTTCTACATATCTGTTTGTACCACTGCTAACAGTCATATTTCTGAGGGTTTGACTGCTGTTGTGATGATGCCGTTAAGCACTATCACTGTCCTTTTGATTATTGCAGCGAAGAAAGCAGTTTGGAGGAATGCGCTCGAAGCTGTGTGGAGCTGCGCGAGCGCCTGAAGATGGTGGTGGACGCGCAGTGCAAGGAGCAGCTTGTCAAAGAGTTCGATGCCATCGCTGTATATGACAAGGCCGACAAGCGTGCTGCTGATCTCGTCAAAATCCTAATGGTTTGTGGAGAAAGAAAAAATGCTTAGAGCAGCAAAGAAAGAACGAAGAGAATGACTGAACAAGAAAGGCTGTTGAAGCTACGAGGTGAACAAGCCGGGTGTGCTTATGCACCAATGCACATATAAGCATGTCAATCTATAGAGGCTGTTTGTATTGCATGCTGAGACTGCCTAGCACACAGCTGAATATACAGCAAAATTATTTCATTTATAGGCGCGCAAACTGTGGGAGGAGAACGCGATGATTATTAAGAATTTGGATGGCAGTGAACCAGCTCCGGAAAATGTGATATTCAATTTGCAGAATGCATACGAATCGCTTTCAGAGGTATGCTGGCCACATCACAGTTCTTAAATTCATTCTGACCCAGAAGAACGAAAAGGCGACAGTGCAGTGAGTGTGTGTGGGGAAGTAACTGTAAACTGTCTGTGTTTGTATCGTTCTCGAAAGTTTTTCAGTTTATGGATGTGCCGAAACGTGCCGATTTTCTGGAGAAAGTGAAGGATGTTTATTTGAGCTGGTATTCCACACGCATTGTATTAGCATTACAGTCTGAAACGCCAGTTGATGGCCTTTTGCCAATCAAGCAGAAATACGATATGCTGCGGAGGACTGGAGGCAAACTTTCTTTTTGCTTAAAATATTAATATGCGTCTCGACTCCGGGCAGCAGCAGCCGCCGCCGCCTTCGAAAGGCTTCCTTTCAATAATCAGCCGCAATTTCTGGCCGGCGAATAGAGAGATTTTTTCTGGAGGCAATCAAAGCATCCACCAAGTCTAATGTAGGCCGAAGGAGAAAACTGAACGTGATGTGAGGAGGTATTTGTGTGCTTTTCGACGTGAAAGCCAGGGATACTGTCGTTAGTGGTATTGCACATCAGTGTCGGCGTCTTATCTCTCTTCTTTATTCCCTACTGTTTTGCGCTAATTGCAGTTTAGCGTACTTCGACAAGAATCGAATGGAACGACATTCAGTAGCAAAACATCTTTAGTTATATTTGCAGTGTGGTACCTGCTGTTAGCCTAGTGCCCTTGAGAGAAAGAGAACCCAGTGCAGTGTGCACTGGTAAGTGTACCTTATCGTTCTCCGGTTAGTTAAAGGTACGGGTATTTATCTGGCACATTTTGCCCAAGGCATGCACCTTTTCAATGAACTGC